GCTCTAAAAACCCAAAACCCTCTTTCCTGCACCAAGACTTTAGCCACGCATTGACCTCTCTAATCTCCCGCTGCCTTTCTGCTGTAGCGCGCGGCACAGGTAATATTTCTGAAAAAATTACCTTGGAGGTCCTTTTCTTTAGCTTACTTCCTAGTTCCCCGAACTCATTCTTTAGGACCTTCCATTTTCCTCTGTCTTTGTTATTGGTACCAATATGGACCATGACAGCTGGGTCATCTCCAGCCCCTCCCAATAATCCCTCCACTCTGTCGGCAACATGCCGGACCCGAGCACCCGGGAGACAGCAAACTGTCCGGTTGAGTCGATCAGAGTGGCAGATTACCCTATCTACTCTCTTAATAATAGAGTCCCCTACCACCACAACCTGTCTAGACTTCCTTACCCTCTCAACCCCACCCGTACTAGAGGGGCTGTTTCCACGGCTGTTAGCAGGAACAGCTTCCTGCAGTACAGCTACTCCTGAGCTGATGCTCCCAACATCTTCACTCAAACGGGCAAATCTGTTAGGCTGCATGAGATCAGGACTAGCTAAACCTTTTCTCTTCCCTCCCCCCCTGCTTCCTCGCCCCACTGTCACCCAGCTACATGCCTGTTCCCCATCTGTCTTATCTCCTCCCTCTCCACTACCTGTCCCCACTAAACTCTGCTCAGTGAGCAGCAGACTCCTCTCAAGATTGTCAATCTCCCTCAGTGTTACAATTTGCCTCTCCAGATCTCTAATCTGAGCTTCCAGAAATGCCACTCGCTCACACCCACCACAGAGGTATGGACCCTGGACAGAATCATCCAGGCATGCATACATGCGGCATGATGTGCACTGAGTTAAACTCACAATCTTGCTAGCACTCATCCCCAGTTACAAAAAACACAAGTGAGCAAAAACAAAATTTACCCTCTTGGTTTAAACTCCCTTGTAGTTTCAACTCCTGTTGTTTTAACTCCTACTTAAAAGAGACTACTTGAAATAGCCTCCTTTCAAGCAAACTCCAGTGAGCGAGTTCTTTGACTCGCTGAATGAACAAGACCCTAATATCAAGTTTACCATGTACTGTGATAAGGTGACAGTCCCATTCTTAGATGTCCAAGTGTGTAGACTAGATGACCAACTATATAGTGATCTTTATATTAAACCAACTGACCGGAACAATTTGATTATGTATGAGAGTTACCATCCCACACATTTAAAGAATGGTTTACCATACAGTCAGTTACTTAGGGTCAGAAGAATAATCTCACAAGAAGAGAAAGTGATGACAGGATTGGACTTCATGTCACAGAAGTTTATGGAAAGGGGTTACCCTGCTCAAACCATACAAACACAGAGAGAAATGGTTTAGAATCTGAAACATCAAGACCTTTTATATGGTCTAGCTAAAGAGAGTAGGATGGACAGAATAGCGTTTATATCTCCATATACCCCGATCAACAGAGATATACGCAGAATTATCATGAAACATTGGCAACTTTTTGCAGGGGATACACAAGTGCCCTTGGAATTTCAGAATCCCCCACTCTTTTCATACCAAAGGGCACCCAATCTTAGAGATTTATTAGTTAAATCAGACATTGGCAGTTCAAAAAGGCAGACCACATTTTTTTCTGAACTCAAAAAGGGTACCTTCCCTTGTCTAGGTTGCTCACACTGTAGCAGTGTGATCAGGGGAGAACATTTTGTTCATCCCTGATCCGGCAAAAAATTCCCGGTCAATGGTTTCTATACATGTAATTCCGACTTTGTAGTGTACATCCTGAAGTGTCCTTGTAGGTATGTATATGTGGGGGAGACCATCAGACCCGTCAAAGTGCGGATAGGGGAGCACAAGAGGACTACAATGAGGTACCAGTGAAGCTCCGGTTTCTAGACACTTCAAGATACAGGGCCACGGAGTTCATCAATTAAGGTTTCAAGTTATCGATAGCGTACCTCCCCTGAGGAGAGGTGATGATAGACAGAGACTCTTTCTACAGAAGGAAACCAAGTGGATCAGTATCCTGGAGACACTGTCACCCTCAGGGCTCAATGAGGACTACGATTTAAAGCACTTTTTGTGAACTTAAGCTCCAATGTTTAATTGTCTATTCAGACTGACTACTATGAGCTGATTTGTACCTTGTGCTCTCTACAGTGCTCCCGTTAGACCAACATTGGTCCGATCCCCTTTCTCGGCAACAGTTTGACCTATACAGGTCTGCTACCTGGCAGAAGTTTTCCAGGGTCTCTCGCATTGAGTGAGTCTCAATGTTAGTGATATTTTTTGTTCACAATAGTCCTTTTTATTTTTTCATTCTTTATTTCAATTTTTATAATATATTTTTTATATATATTTTTTATTTTTATTATTTCTTATCTTTTATTTTTTTTATTTTATTTTTTTTCTGAAATTTAGGATCATAATAAGCATTATACATTTACATTACAGCATTGTCTTTCTTTCATTCTTTATTTAACCCTTGAAACTCGGCTACAGGTGAGCAACCAGTGACTACTATTAATTATATATGATTTTCCATTAACTCTAATTTGAACTTACTTAGCAGAGAGTTATAACCATAGTGGACATTTGTGAATTCCTGGGGTTAGCTTTTTGGGACATACTAGATTCCTGGTAATATGGTTTTGTACCATTTATGGTGAATAGTGATTCACTCATACATCATGCATTAATGTACAATATGGAATATTACCCTTTTTAGTGCCACTTATTACAGTAGGCAGCTCCTCCAAGCCCTGTTATTACCCTTTTCATCCCACTAAGTTTTAGGCTAACTAGTTGTGGCCATATACAGAACCCCTTGTTCACAGCAAGGACTTGTTTATTTTGGGAATTTCAAGATAATATCTCTCCTACATATGGCTATCTGGAGTTCCAATATATATTCTAATTATGTGCAGTTTCCTTCATTTTATTGTCTACCTTCCCACTTCAGCTAAGTCTCCACATTTATGTTAATTGACACCTTGATAATACTATGTTACTTGTATATTACGATTGAATATTGTGTCAAGTGTAGCACTGTTGATAAGGTATAGTGTTAAGTATAACATTGTTGATAAAGTTGATTTTAATGATGTCATTACGCATGACGTTCTGATGTATGATAACGTCATGACGCCAACACGGAAGTGGATTGTTTTGCTGCCAGGACTTGTATTTATATGCAGCTGTTTCAATCTTGTGCTCAGGGGCCACTGAAGGGACAGTCCATCCGGAGTGCGCAGCCCGGCGATTACTTACACACTACGCAGAACGCCAGTGAGACCAGCTTAACGGATACACAGTGTGATAAGCTTAACGGATACACATGTTCAGCAACCAGAAGATAATTAATTTGGCGCACTTCCCGGCTTCCATACCAAGGGACAATTGATGTTACTCTCTACATGTTTGAGAACCATTGGACCATTCACAGCTATTGCATAATCCCATGGTCGAAACCTTCATTTGGTGAGATCCAACCATCTCTGTATCATATGTAAAGTGAACTTTCAAAGTATTAGTAGTCTTTTTTACTTTTTTCTCTTTTCCCATTTTTTTTGATTTTTTTCTCTTTATCAATTTTTTTGAAATCTTGTATATACACTTTTTAAAGAGAATTACTAAGGAATGCATACATCTGAACATTTATTAACTTATACACATTGTATCTATTTACTGCATATAATTGTAAATAGCCTGGAATGTATATATATGAGCTTTTTGTACCATAGTTGAATTATCAGAACTCAAAAGTGATTTACCTATGTACCATATATGTGGTGACTAATACAACAGTGATTTACCTTTTTTGATGAATTGGTTTAGACAACCAGTGAACTGTGAAGGAGATCATCAGAATACAATAGTGATTTATCTGTGTACCATATATGAAGTGACAAATACAATAGTGATTTAGATGTTGTTGATGAACTAATTTAGATAACCAGTGTATAATAAATCAATTTCACTTTTTTGCATATTGAATAGAGACTCTCTTGTTTTTTATGCATATGAGTGAGGTATTTAATTGATGTTTTTTGTATATATTATTGAGGTCCTTGATGGGAAAAATGATAGGAAATATCTCTAATACCTGCACCACCCAGTAACTAATTAATAATTTTGTATTACTCTCCTCTGTTACTTTATGTTTATATTGCCTCTTTTGAAGTTGTTTCTGTATTATTTTTTATATAATTTGCTGTTTGTTCTTGCTATGCTTCTGTACTATGTGCATAGGCGTGCGCACGGGGTGTGCCGGGTGTGCCTGGGCACACCCTAATCCCCGTGGCACGCTTATGGCTTGAGTCCTGCAGGAACAGCGTTCCTGCACTTTTTTTGAGCAGGAACGCTGTTCCTGCAGGCACTCAGCGCCCCCCTGTCTCACCTCTTGCCCCTGTCATGGGGGAGGGGGGGGGCAAGAGGTGATGGATTACCCCCCCGCCCCCCTCCCCGCAGTTCAGCCACGGCGAGGGAGCTCTCTGCTCTCTGCTCCCTCTCGCCGCGCGCTGATGCCGGGAGCCGGAATATGACGTCATATTCCGGCTCCCAGCTCCTTCAGACAGCCCGCGCGGCGAGAGGGAGCAGAGAGCAGAGAGCAGAGAGCTCCCTCGCCGCGGCTGAACTGGAGAAAGGCGCCCGCCCCCACTGGACCCCAGGGACAAGTCCACCAGCACTCCAGGTAGGAGGCTGGGTGGACATTTAAAAAAAAAAAAATATATATAATAATGTGTGTGTGTGTGTCAGAGTGTGTGTCTGTGAGTGTGTGTGAGTATATGTGTGTGTCAGTGTGTGTGTGTCTGTGAGTATGTGTGTGTGTCTGTGTGTGTGTGTGTGTTTCTGTGAGTGTGTGTGTGTTTCTGTGAGTGTGTGTCTGTGAGTATGTATGTGTGTGTGTCAGTGTGTCTGTGAGTGTGTGTCTGTGAGTATGTGTGTGTGTCTGTGTGTTTCTGTGAGTGTGTGTGTGTTTCTGTGAGTGTGTGTCTGTGAGTATGTATGTGTGTGTGTCTGTGAGTGTATGTGTGTGTCTGTGAGTATGTATGTGTGTGTGTACATATATATATATATATATATATATATACACACATATATATATATATATACACACACACACATACACACGCAGAGCCGGCGCTATCTGAGTGCCGGCTCTGCTCTAAGCCTTCATGGGCCGGCGGGGAGACCAAAGATCTACCTCACCGGCCCACAGCAGCTTGGAGGGAGGCAGTAGAGGACCCAGGGAGCTCTAGACAGAAGCTCCGCCAAGTTCCTCTCGCGATATCTGAGCGTTGCTGTGGCAACGCTCAGATCTCGCGAGAGTTAACTCTAGCCCCGCAGGCTAGAGTTCACTCTCCACTGGACCACCAGGGATGGCACATGGCAGCAAGGATTTACTAATCTGCCAAATCCCTCCAAACATACAGCACACACACATACAGCACCTACACACATACAGCTCACACACACACAGTACACTAACCGCACCCTCACAAACACACACAGCACCTTTTAAAAAAACACAACACCCTCACACACAGCACACTAACAGCACCCTCACAAATAGCACCCTCACAGGACAAACATACACACACAAACAGCACAGTCACAAACACGCACCCTCACACACACATAACACTAACAGCACACAGCTGTGTGGAGAGAGAGAGAGAGAGAGAGAGAGAGAGAGAGAGAGAGAGAGAGAGAGAGTGAGAGAGAGAGAGAGAGTGAGAGTGAGAGTGAGAGTGAGAGTGAGAGAGTGAGAGAGTGAGAGAGTGAGAGAGTGAGAGAGTGAGAGAGAGACGCGCGTGGCGTGTGTTTGTGCTTTAGGGTGCACACCCTAATGCAATTGGCTGCGCACGCCTATGACTATGTGCAGCTGTGTTTTTTTTTCTATGTTATTTATTGTGTTTCTACCCTCTCCCCTCCTTACTGGGGTTACATGTTAATGTTGAATTAGGCAGTTTATATAAGCTGTTTAAAGGGATTTCCCCCATAACCTTGGATTAACTATTAGAGCATGGATTAGTGCTCTCTGTCAGGACTGTGGCCTGCACTCAGGGGGTGAGCCCCCTACTATATTTTTACTGCACTGTGCTACTGAATGGAGACATGTTGTTACAGTCTCTATTAATCCCCATAACCTTGTATTAACTATTAGAGCATGTATTAGTGCTCTCTGTCAGGACTGTGGCCTGCACTCAAGGGGTGAGCCCCCTACTATATTTATACTGCACTGAGCTACTGAGTGGAGATATGCTGTTACAGCCTCTGTTAACTGCTGGACAGGGTTTCCAGGACATACTGCTTAAAAGACTATCTCCCATTCTCCCATAACTTTGAATTAACTGTTTGAGCACAGATTAGTGCTCTCTGTCAGAGCTGTGGCCAGTACGTAAGGAGTGAGCCCCCTACTATATTTATACTACACTGTGAAACTGTATGGAGACATGCTGCTACAGCCTCTGTTAACTGCTGGACAGGATTTCCAGGACATATTGTTTAAATGGATATCTCCCATTCTCCCATAAAATTAAATTAACTGTTTGAGCACATTGTGGCGGAACCAACCTTGCCACTGTGCACTGGAGAAGCCTGGTTGCTCGCCTGCTCCCTTTAGACTATGGCCCGGCATTTAAAACCTTTTATTTTCCCTGCAGAAAGGCGTATTCGTGCCTTTCTGCCGGGGTGTTCGGTAGATTCAATCTACCGAACCAAGTACCGAACGATCGACCACCTGGGAACTGGAGTGTGCCGTCAATTGACCGCCCAGAAGCTGCGGTTAACCGCAGCTTAATTGATGAATGCTGGGTGGCCTTTGTTCGTTTGCCGAACACATGGCAGCGGCCATTTTAACTCCCGAACGGCCAGCGGTGTTCAGTGCCCAAACTATGGAACTGGAAATGGACACTTATTTGCGCGAACACCGCTGAGCCGCCAGGACTGTGGCCTGCACAGTCCTTACCTCTGCATTCGGTAGTGGAACCAAATGACTGTTCATTCGGTAGTTTGACCGTATGAACAGCATCAACCCCAGATAGCTATGCCATGGAGCCTATTCGTGTAACGAAAGACTATGGAAAAGATTTTTGCTCCATGGCGATTGAACTGTATGTATGTGATCTGAGCACCATTCGGTAATAATGTGCGCTCAGATCTAAGCTATCTGGGGATATGTAGAATGTGTATGTTTTATGAGATAAAGGTAACCGTATGTAATTTTATGTCTTTTTACTGAAAATGTGTGTAATGGAGTTTTGCCTCTGTCCTTGGAGATAATTGGATTACTTCCCAATTATCTCCAGGCCAGAGAGGAGGGATTGTGATGCATTGTGGGATTGTTGAAATGTGTAAGTCTGTGATTGGTCCTTTTACCCTTTGTGCCCCAGTCTTCCATCTGGTCCCCTAGGGGAGTGTCCACCTGGTGGCAGACCTGCATAAAAGCCGGGCAGGTAGCCCCAGTAAATGAGTTCTGCTTGACCCTCAAACGAAGTGTCGTCTCGTTCTTGGTGGGAATTGAATTGTATGCTGATTGTCGGAAGTGTAAGCCGATTGTATGCTTTTCCTGTTCAGCTGTTTCCAGTGTTCGTGTGTTTCCTGTTCGGGAGTTGGAGGATTCGTGTAGTTTGCAGTTCGGGAGATTGGTGCTTGCAGTAGCTGTCTGTGCATCTGAAAGGGGAATATCTCCTAAACTGGTTTTAACCTCTTGTGTGCAAAATGGTCCATTACAATTGGTGGCAAGCGGCGGGATCATTCCCACAGCCCAGAAGGACAGCTACAAGGCAACACCAGTTCCTGGATTACAAATTGAGGGCAAAGCTAGTACCTGTACAGCGCCCCTACCTACAAAAGAACCAACTTCAGCAGCGCAAGCATGGCACCCAGCTACACTCAGGAGGCGTTTGACAGAGAGGTTACCGCGCTGCTGGCTTACTTTGGACCCAACCCTCCTGAGAAATACGTACAGAGCACGAGGAAAATAGTGGCAGAGTACCTGCAGTTCAAAGCAGATTTGGCCAAAAAGGAGCCCCAGGGAGCCAAAAGTGCCGTCCTTCCTCCCCAGCGGCAGAGTGAGTTACAGGGAGCCAAAGGTGTCGTCCTTCCTCCACAGCGGCAGTGTGTGTCCTTAGGAGAGGATGGGTCCCTCTCCCCAGCAGTCCAGTGAGTCCCAGGGAGACAAAGGTGCCGTCCTTCCTCCCCAGCGGCAGAGTAAGTTACAGGGATCCAAAGGTGCCATCCTTCCTCCC